CGGGGCAGTGGGAGGGCTGGGGTGGGGCCTGTCCGCTGCCCCTGGTGGGTGCCTGGGCCACAGTGCTGAGTACACCCCCTTAGACAGTGTGTGTGCAGGCCCTGCCCACCTGCACTGGGCGCGTCGGTAGGACATGGGGACCTTGATCACGTCCGCAGGGCCTAATCAGTGCCTAACCAGTGCCTAACCAGGGCCTAATCAGTGCCTAACCAGTGCCTAACCAGGGCCTAATCAGTGCCTAATCAGGGCCCAGAACACAGTGTCTGCTTGGTAAGCATTGGATGGATGTTCGAGCCAATGCTTGGGGGGGCGGGGGGAGGCAGAAAAAGGTGAGGAGGCCCCGAAATGCATCATTTACTTATTAAGTCTGCCTCCCCGTCCCCTCTTAGCCCTAGAATGTCAGTCGCACAGGCAGCGTCCCTAAGCAGTGCAGGCACATAGCAGGCACGCAGCATCTGTGAGTGGATGGATGAGTGACTTCAGCCTGCTCCCCAGTTTTGTTGTGGGGATGAAATGAGATCCCATCTGCCTGGTGCTGCCCTGGCTAAGGGGGAACAGCGCTGGCCTGTCTGGCAGTCGAGGCCTCTCCCCTCCCAGCTGCTGCGAGACCCAGCTCCTCACCTACTAACAGGCCTTTTGAGGGGTCAGGGGTCAGATGACCTTGCAGGAAGCAGAGCTGGTTATACAGAGGAATGAGAAACTGGACAGTGTGCTGGGGTGTCCTGACACCCCTCCCAGGCAGAGGAGGGGGCCTGAAGCCTCTGCCCAGATCCATGGGAGAGCCATCACACCTCCCCCCGCCCCCCATCACACTGTCAGTGGCTGGCCACTGGCTCCTGGCCAAGGAGAAAACAGGGAATGGATTTAGGCCCAAGGCTTTGGTGACAAGGCGGGCAGGACACTGAGGCTCAGGGTGTTAGGAAAGTTGTCGAGCACTGGTGTGGGGGTGAATGGAGGCGAGGGTGGGATGAGGGGAACTGTCCACACCCCCCAGAGCGCTGTATTCTGTGGCTTC